GAATCAAACGTCCAAGGAACCAAATAATAGTTATCTTTAAAATATTATAGAAGTAAATTATATTAAACCTGTAATAAATAAAGTGCGTCCAGCTAGTTTGCCTGTGTTTATCATTTTGCAATAGGGATCGATAACCTTTTTTCGAATTCGTACTTTGGTTATTTCTATCGTATTATTTGTCTGCGCCGTGATCACATAATATTTGTTTATTATGAATCAAACGTCCAAGGAACCAAATAATAGTTATCTTTAAAATATTATAGAAGTAAATTATATTAAACCTGTAATAAATAAAGTGCGTCCAGCTAGTTTGCCTGTGTTTATCATTTTGCAATAGGGATCGATAACCTTTTTTCGAATTCGTACTTTGGTTATTTCTATCGTATTATTTGTCTGCGCCGTGATCACATAATATTTGTTTATTATTTTGTTTTTTATTGATATATACCGGTAACAGCTGATTTGAGGAAACATCTGTTTATAGATGAAAATTTGACAGTCAATTTTTATCTCTATAGCTTACCAGAATTTTAGAAAAATAATTTGCTCTAATTGGTATTAAACTTTTCATTTACAGAAATGTATTGTCAACAAACAGAAATAAGTAGTCTTTCAAGAATATTAAAAACTCAAAGAAGATCCCTTTGAACTACGTCTTTACGAATATTTTTAAATGTTTCAACAAATATAATAAGCAATACAAAAGGGAAGTTTTGCTTATTGACAAACAAGGCAACACTTACAAGGTTTAGTCAAATAGAATTTGACATTTCGCCTGAAAAAAGCGGTACTTAACCTGCACGTCAATTTCACGAGTATTTTAGGCTGTAAAATAAATAAATTGTGATTAATTAAAATAAAACAGGTACATTTAATTACAAATATAAAACTTGTTCAATTAAGAAGCATACTTAGTTCCGAAAACAAGTGCAAAGCGTATTATATAGTTCATTTTAAAAAGTAATAAAAATTATAATCTTATCACTTCATATGTGAATTAAATAAAAAAATGGTGTACTTGCGATTAACGAAAGGGTTTGCATGACGCATTCGGGGATTTTTACTAACCTGAACTGATCACATCGATTGTTCACGTTCATACTACCTGATTTTTGGCATATTTTACTCAATTAAAATATTTACTTCATAGGGTCAGCATTATGGTCGCAATTCCATATTTGTTTAACGAAATCGAGCGCATATTTGAAACTGTGAGTAAAAGTCTCATATGCAAATATATTTGCGCATGTTAACCAAATTATATGCTTATATTTTAAAATTCCAGACCCCGCTATATGTGGTTGTATTGGAAGCTTTTCTGCTGCTATCGGTAATATGGTTGCTACTCTTCAAGCGTAATGGGCGTGGCAAAAGGTACACAAAGTTAGAGGAAGAAGAAATTATTTCCAAATATGAACCGGAACCACTCATCGCTGAAACCGATCCCAATCATCCACTATTAAAAACACGTTTAGTCCAATCGAAAGTAGGCAAGCGTGTGATAGTTGATGGACAAGAGTGCCTAAATTTGGCAACCCACAACTATTTGGGATTATTAGAGGATAACAAAATATTGGAGGATGCTTGCAATACATTGAAGAAATACGGGGTTGGATCTTGCGGACCGCGTGGTTTCTACGGTACAATGGATGTGCATTTGGATCTAGAAGAACGTTTGGCAAAATTTATGGGTATGGAGGAGTCCGTGGTATACTCATATGGATTCTCTACTATAGCAAGTGCTATACCAGCATATGCAAAACGAGGCGACGTTGTATTTGTGTAAGTAAAAATTTTCAAATAGAACGGCGGAATTAGAATATATTCTTCATTAATGTATTCTAAAGTGATGAGATGGTTAATTTTGCCATACAAAAAGGTTTGGATGCTTCACGTAGCACTATTTATTACTACAAACACAACAATATGGCCGATTTGGAGCGTCTGCTTATTGAGCAACAAGAACGCGATGTAAAGGTATGTTTATAAAATAAGTACATATATGTATGTATGCATAAAAAAAGTGTCTGGTAACAGCTATTTCTATTCGTATAGAATCCAAAGAAAGCAGCCAAGACGCGTCGTTTTCTTTTAGCCGAAGGTATTTACATGAATACTGGTGAAATATGTCCCCTACCCGAACTTGTAGTGCTACGTGCTAAGTATAAATTGCGTTTGTTCCTGGATGAGAGCATTTCCTTTGGCACGCTTGGTAAAACCGGTCACGGGCTCACCGAGCACTTTAATGTCGATGTAAGAATATTTCTAAAAATAAATTATGTATATATTTAATGTGTACTCAATATTTGCTTAACAGCTGATTGAGGTTGATCTCATTATGGCAGGCATGGAAAATTCCATAGCTACCATCGGCGGTTTCTGTGTCGGATCACACTTCATTGTCGAGCATCAACGTCTGTCTGGTTTGGGTTATTGTTTCTCGGCATCACTGCCACCACTATTGACACAAGCAGCCATCTCTGCACTTGATCGTTTCGAATCCGAACCGCAAATGTTCACACAATTGCAGAAAATATCGCGTAAAGTTCAAACGGTATTTGGCAAATTTTCAAAGTTGAAGTTGCGCGCCAACGAACTTTCGCCCATCAAGCATTTATATATAGCAGAGGAACGCGAAAATTCAGATCAAGAGCGTGAATTGCTCACCCAAATCGCCAATAAGGTAAGTCATATATAAAATTAAGTTTTCATTGTTTCTACATGGAAATATATTTGTAGTGCATTGCAAGCGGTGTTGCTGTTATCGAGGCGCGTTATTTGAACAATTTGGAAAAACATGTTTTACGTCAAAGCATACGTATAACGGTGAATCGTTTACTCACTGACGCAGATATCAAGCATGCTTTCGATGTTATCGAAAATGTATCCAAGGAAGTGTTGTAGATTACACACCATTCATTACGACTAATTAGTAGATAGTATAGGCTGATAGCTTATTTCAAAACCATAAAAGCAGTACATTATAGTTTTATGTTAACTGCTGATTAACAATGACATAGTAAAAGTGAGGTTAATTTACAAAAGTTCCCACTCTTTAATGCACAATACCGAACTTCATTAAGTAAGGGTAGTATTATATTAAATACTTCTAGTTGCGGAATATTGAAATGTGCATGCACACAATTTAAAAGCGCTATTTGTTTAAAATTTAAAAAAAAAATTAAAAAAAAAAAAAAAAGTATATGAAATTAATCAAATTCGTTGCCGTATGTTTTAATTAGATCGATAAAATAATATTTTTGCAAACACTTTTGTTAGTTACTATTATATAAGCTCATACATGCACATTCCATGATTGAAGCTTGTAATTACACTTTCTTTGAATGTTCGTTCGAAAAAAATCGTATATTAAAACCAAACGTAAAATGCAAATGTATTAAACTTTATAAATAATTAAGCTTGTAATATAAAATAAAATATGTATATTTATATGGAGTAGAGTCTGCTATTCAATTGCAACGCGTTCAAAACTTAATATAAAGTGACTGATGTTTAAAGCATATTATAGGTATAATATTTTTCGAGTTTAACCCTTAAGCACACACAAAAACTCAATAAATGTAAAATATATTTAAAAAAAATATATATTATGTACCAGAAAAGTTTTATTTTCTTTTAGAAAAACATTTTTCATTTCATAAACTCTATTTTTATTTTTAATAGAAAATTTTGTTCACTTTCACTTATTGTACTTTTTTTCTAAAACAAATTATAAATTTTTATAACTACTAATATGAGTGCAGCGCTTCAACTTATCAATGGGCTTTTTACCGTTGTCATCTAGTCACTTACATGCGCATAAACCACAGCTGTACGTGAAGGTGTATAAACCTGAAATGCAAGACGTTAAAAAAAATGAGTGAGTTTATTTCATTGTTCCCATCAAATATAATTTTTACATAATGTTTTTAGTTATTATTTCTGTATTTTATTTATGATTTATTTATTTTACTTTAAAGTTTCAATATATTTTCGTCACTTAGATTATTTAAAGTACTTTGTTTATTTAATTTTTTTTTATATATTTTTTTTATTTTTTATAAAAATTGCACTTTTGTTTTAGTAAGATTTATTAATATAATGCAACAATTTGAATTTATATTATAATTTATATTTTCGTAACAACGCACAGTTTATATTTTTTTATCATTATTTTATTTAAAATATTGCATATCAATTACTCTTTTAGATTTTAAAAATAATTATCATTTCTTGTTTAATTAGTGATTTTTGATTTTATTTTTTAATATTATATTATCGTTTTGTCACTTTCCAGCACTGCAAACATTCCTACGTTAAGTTAGCACCGTTAACTTACCTCAAAGAAATTCTGCCGTTCTGCATAACCCTCAGGTCGTGTTAAATGCTTGCAATTCTTATCAATACGATTTTGACCGCCAAAAAGTTCATCATCCGAACTCAACACCGCCTGATAAGTGCCTGCCCAATTTGTGCCTACACGATAACCAGTAAAACTTTGTGTGGGGTGGAAGTTGAAAACAAATACTAAGCCGGCGCGTTCAAAAGCAATCACTTTATCGCCTTCATGCTTCCAGCTGACATATGCCGGATCCGAATGTAGCCAGCCGTGGCGCTCTTCCAGCTCATTCATCGCACGATCAAATTCGTTCAAAAATTTGTACTTCAGCATTGCGTCATCAACTAAATTCCACTGACGACGCGCATAATGATAGGAGTCGTTATTGCCCACACGTGGGAAATCCAACCATTCAGGATGCCCGAATTCGTTGCCCATAAAATTGAGGTATGCTTCACCTCCAAGTGCATGTGTGATCAAACGTATCATTTTGTGCAGCGCAATGCCGCGATCGATAATCAACGACGGCTCGGAGATTGTAGACATGTGTGTGTACATTTCTTTATCCATTAACCAAAAGGCGATCGTTTTATCACCGACCAAGGCTTGGTCATGAGATTCCGCATAAGCGACAGTATTCTCCTTCCAGCGACGATTTGTCAATGTGTGCACGATGTCGCCAATATTCCAGGTGTCGTCTGTGTACTCTTTGAGTAGCTTAATCCATTTGTCTGGTATGGCCATGGCAAGACGATAATCGAAACCGATACCGCCTTCGTCGACTGGACGGCAGAGTGTGGGCATGCCTGATACATCCTGTGATGTTGCGGTCGAAAAAATATACATATGTAATCATTTTCAAAATAATAAAAATTATGTGTGAAAAATTTTACCTCTGCGATGGTGATGACCTCTGGATTTTGTGTATGCAGCATGTAATTGGCTAAACCGAGATAGTTCAATGCGTCTGTATCAACATTGAGACCAAAATATTCGTTGTAATCACCGCTGAAACCTTCACCAATGCCGCGTGAATGATACAACATGGAAGTGACGCCATCAAATCTGAAAAAACACGTCAAAAATGTTAAAAATTAGCGAAAACATATATTTTCACGTCTCCCTCACTTACCGATAGCCATCGAAATAATACTCATCGTGCCACCAACGCAAATTGGAAAGCAAAAAGCGCAACACCTCATACTCCACATAGTTGAAGAGCCGACTATCCCATAGCGAATGTTCACCACGAGCTCCATCATGGAAATAACATGAATTGGTGCCGTCAAATTGATTCAAACCATCCTGCACATTCTTACTCGCATGCGAATGCACTACATCCAATAGCACGTACAAGCCATGTTCATGCGCTACATCGATCATGCGTTTCAACTCCTCGGGAGTGCCATAACGACTGGAGGCGGCAAAGAAACTGGTCACCTGATAGCCAAAACTGGCATAATAAGCGTGTTCCATGATCGCCATAACCTGTATGGCATTGTAACCTTGGCGCTTAATGCGCGGTATTATATTATCGGCAAAATTCTGATATGAACCAACACGCGGCTCCTGCGAGGCAATACCCACATGGCATTCATATATGCGCAACGATTTGGGACGCTTCGGTCGTGGGTGCTTGCAGAGGTAGCGTTCAGTTGGTGGTGGATTCCACACGTACTGCTTATAGTTAACACCCTGATTGGCCTCCTTGGGTGGTTGGCGCACATATGTGGCCCACGGTGAGAGACGATCCAACAGTTGGCCCGCTTGATTGCGTATGATCACCTTAACCTCGCTGAGATGTTTAATGGGCGCGCTGCCATCGCTATTGGCAGGCAAATGTAATTCCCATTTGCCGAAATCGAGCTTCTTAAAGGGATTCGCCTCCCATTGCCAGTTGTCTGTGTGAGGTTGTGGAATTGGAACATGATTAAATGGCTTATGGCGAGATTCAACATTGGCTACTTACTGAAATCACCAGTGAGATAAACTTGCTGTGCACCAGGCGCCCATTCGCGTGCGATCACAGAGTTGTCGGGTTGGACGTGTAACCCGTAATGTTTGTAACCCTGTGAGAATGTATCCATACCGCCTTCAAGCTGATCGATTTTGCCGATCCACTCTTTAAGCACGCCATGTCTATGGAATGATAAAATTTGAACAAAAATCATATTATTTTATATTAAGATTGAAGGCTTTGAAAGTCTTTGTACAATAGTAATAAAATCGTTTTTATTAATAAAATATTTAAATTTAGAGAAAACAGAAAACTTATAAGAATGAGAAGTTGGAAATCGTAGGATGCTCGATTGGATGGCTAACAGAGCTAAAAAAAGTTATCTGGTTTGAAATCTTTTTTGCAGAAACGTAGTCTTTGTTGTTGTTTTTTTCATTCCTCATTGCGCCAATTTTTCTCAATGCACCGAACCCACGATTGCACCAGAGAACGTATAATAGTAGTTTGTATTGCAGCTATATGTTATCATAGTCCGATCTGAACAATTTGTTCGGAGATTATACCGTTGCTTTAGAATATAATTAATGTCAAATTTCGTGAAGGTATGTGTACCATATATATACAGACAGACAGACGAACATTGCTAAATCGACGCAGGTCGTTACGCTGATCATTTATATACATACATATATATATTTTCTGTTACACACTTCGTGGCAAACTTAATGTATTCTGTTCAGGGTATAAAAAAAACAGTGCCCTGGACCATAGAGGAAATACCATAAATCAAAAATATAAAAAAATGCAATTAAAATAGAATTAAACCCAAAACGCAAAAAGACAAAAAAAAACACGCACACATTGCACAAGGCTTATAATTTTGCATCACGAGGAAATAAATTTACGGTAAACATATTTTTATATTTATTAATATGTGTATATACACTGACATAGCCGCTATGTGGGTTCATAAAAGCTTGCATAATGCGTACAGCCATACGTCCATGCATAATTTGTTTAGGGACTATTTTTGAAATTCTATTTAGAAATGAAGAACTTTCGTTTTGCTTTTTAACATTAATATATTTTTTAATTTCGTAAGCAACATCAATATTATATATAGATAATATGTAGGTATGTGTATGTTCATATGTATCACAATGTATATATATTTTTGTGTGTTTTTTATTTAAGTATATTTTGATAATTTCCCAATCGTTGTAAGGTATTTTTGAGAAATGTGAAATTGTTAATTGTTCACTTCACTTTTTTATTTTAATTGCAAAAAAAAACTTGAGTATATGTATAGTTTAGGTGCCCTAACGGCACCGGAAACCGCGAAAATCAAAATTTTTTTAAATCGCTTTATTTAACACATTTAATTATATTCTTACACACATTTTTCAATTAACGTAATTGTAACTACACTGTACACATTGAAATATATACAAATATGGATTTATAGTGCGTTTAAAAACAAAAAGTATTTTAAAAATTACTTCGTACATCCGTAATACAATGGCGTCCTTCGGCCGCACTTCAAAAAAAAACCCTGGTCGATCCAACACCGGGGTGTTCATAATTCATTTGTAGTGCAGAAAGGAGTTCGACGAGAAAGAACATGTGCAAAGTGTGTTTATTTTTCAATATTGAAATTCATTTGTTGAAATAATAAAAAAATAGAATTATTGATCTTGCTAGCGGATTTGTCATCCTCGCGTCAAAATAAGACGATTAAAAAAAAAATTATAACATTCGCGGCCTCCTTTGTTGTATTAAAAAATTTTAAAAAATATTTATGATATGAGGGAGATCCTTAGTTGTTATGCTGGGATTATTTTTTCACTGTATGGCGTGTGGCAATTTGGCACAAGTGACGTTGTTGACCTTGGCATTTAAATAGCTAATAAAAGAGTTCTTACGTTGTACCGGTTTGATTAAATGTAAAAATAAATTTATATACAAGTACGTATGTACTAATATAAACGATAAGGTTTAACACACTAAACAAATAATTTCAAATTATTTCAAAATGTAAATATTATACCGGACCGGGATTCACAACATGCATTAATATATGCTATAAAAATTATTATGTTTTTTACTGGAAAAATTTGTTATTTCTAATTTTCTAATCTAATAAATAATCACCAATATATATTTAGCTCACATTTTGTGCACAAAGTTTTGATAAGAACTGTTGTTTATAATCAATACACACACAAAAGTTCATATACGCACACGGTCGCCATAGGGTAGCGAGGCCAACTTGCCGGTGTGCGCTCATCACTGTAACCTTCAGCTGACTTTCAAAACTATGCACACAATTTGTTTTGCATTATACAGGACCAATATGACTTTTAACGCATTAAAACACACACTCGTTCCATTAAAAGACATTTTAAATAACTAATTAAGCACATTAGGAATAATTCAGACAACGGATGCACTTATCAGTGGCTGCTAAGAACTTTGACAGTCGACATGCATGAAAGCTGTAATGCGATTACGCTTGTTATCACCACAATTTTTTCAAGCGCATCTACATATATTTCCACTCACCTGCGTCGTATTTCGCGTTCAAATGGCTTCAAATAACCATCTAATTTAAGAAGTTCATCAATACTTTTCACTTCAACTTGCATTGGATCCATTATGGAATTATTGAATTATTTACACAGCCAAAATAAACTTAAAATGAAGAATGTTTGTCCTGAAAGGCAAACTTTATATTACTTGCACACTATCACTCGCTGGAAGCGTGTTCACTTGTGTATTAAATTTATATTTCTGTCTTCTAAATATATTCCAATAGAACAATTGCTTTTATGTTTGGACGTCAACTGATTGACTTTATTCAATGGCAGAAGACTATGTAGTGAAAAAACGCCAACAACTAACTAATATACACCGAGTAAGGGGCACAGCTGTTTGATAGCGTCTGTTGGAGGCACTTATAGAGAACTATTATTTTGTTTACTTTACTTTCGTGGTTCTTCTATTCTGTTGCAGAACTCCAACAGCAGCTACAAGTGAAAATGTGCATGTATGTGCTCTTCACACAAAAACCCTGCGAGGCAGCAGAGCATCACATACACTGTGCGTCACCAGGTTAGCACTGCCTCATCAGTCTAATACAATTGCTTCTAATTTTTTATATTTTTTTTAATTATAACTTGCAGCTACTTTATTGTTTTCTAATTTTCTCATATTTGTATGAATAATCACTGGATAAGAAAACATGCGATAAGAATGTCCCGTTATATGGTTTTTGCTAAAACTAAACTAAAACCTCCACTTCTTTCGTCTCGAAAAGAAACATGATTAAATTTTGCACTGAAGCACATTTCTTCATTTTAAAATTTAGTAAATAATAAAAATAAAAATATAATAAGTAATATCCCGTGTGCTCAGCAGAATGAGTACTTTCCTCAGTTGGGAGGATAATTTGTCTTTATCTTGCTCACATCAATTGCATGAAATGTAAGCAAACATTTCCCCAAAAGTTTAAAAATACATGATTCTAGTTCTCATCAGTATTGCCAATGGAGACTGCACATTGCTAATGTTTAGCAATTGATGTATAAACATATTTCATGCCATGCATTGCTAGCAATGAACTGTCATTTGGTGGTTTGACAGAACTGTTTTAATTTCCACGCAAATTGTGAAGAAGCAACATGTATGTACATGCATAACTGCGGTCGCATGATGCCAGCAAAGATGAAGTGTCAAAGTTTATGTTACGTAAACTGCAAGTTAGCAAAGTAATATTCGGAACATAAATTTTAACAAAACATGGAAAATAGTAATTAAATACATACATATGAATGAATATTTTAATATTATTATTTTAATGATAATTGTTACCATATTTTAATATCATTGCTCATATTTAATTATTGAATTAGTAAATATCTTTATGCAACAATTATTTAGGTCTTGAAACATGAAATCTTATTTTTCAAAAAAACACATTTCTAGAAAAAAGTACATTTCTACTTTTTGTTGAACGAATGTCAGACAGAACAAACGTGAGAGAAAAATAGGCGCGCAACCCCACGAAAGCAACACATCTGATAAGTGATTAACAACCAATAACAGACAAGGAGATCACCACTCTTATGTATAAAATATACATAATCTTATTTTGTATTAAAATTCAAATTGTTATTTTATATTTATTTTGTTTAGATTAAAAGTAAATATATTAAAATTTTATCTAAATTTTGTTACTATCAATTCTCATTTAATGCAATAAATGATATTTATTTATTTATTTAGTTTGTTTTTTGTTTTCTTATTTTAATATCATTTCAGCTAACAGAAACATGTCTACTTTCAATTTATCGCATCTCTAGCCTGAATTGAGACTTTTTTGTTCTTTGAATATTTGTATTATTCTTTTTTTTGCCGGCTTAACCTTTTATTATGGTTCAACAAACAACGGAATTTTTAGACGAAGAGTTTGGTTAATTTCAAACGCATAGCGAAGTAATTGGCTAAAGTTCCGAAAGACTTTAACTCGGAAAATAAATATAAAACTAATCGATTACATAGGACCGATTAGAGTGATCCGGCGCACCATATTTCATCTTTAATAGGATTCTGCTACGAATAAACAGGCTTCGGATTTAAGAATCAAACAGCGCATAATAATCAAAATTATTTAACGCTTTATGTACATTAGAAGGTGGCATTCAAATCGCAAATCGTCCTATCATATCGCAATAAATCCCACCAAATAAAGCACAACAAATTTATGAAATAATCTTTCGTCTTTATTTTATATTATAGATAATTTAATATTTCACATTATTACACTGTGCTTGAAGCGGGAACTTTTTTATAATTTCATTTTTTTCCTTAGCACAATCAACAGCTCTCCGCTGGTGTAATTACAATGAAATACTACCAGCGTGATTGTATGCTTATAGTTTTCTGACTAGCACAGTGCAGTCAATAATGTTAGAATAGTTTATATATGCGTAGCTTAAATGAGCTACACGCTATTTGAATGGGTCATTGAAGCTTTTACAATAATATATGTATATATGTTACAGGTTCTTACAACAGTTTAGTTTTTACTTATTTTTTTTATTAATATCCCTCAATCTAATTAAATTTTTTTAATATGTATATATATTTTTTTTTTTAATAACTTGTTATTTTTGGATACTAAACTTAGAATTTTTATTTATTTTATGCTTTAATTATTATTATACTAAATATCAATCATTGGTTTTGTTTATTGGTAAAATTTTGTTCTTACTTGATTTAATTAACTTAATTTTTTCTTATTAAGTAGTTTTTGTTTTTAATTAAGTTAAAGGAAAATTATTTATAATGTTTAAATAAATTTGAAAGAAAATTAATTTTAAATGGCTTAGATTTTTAATAAAATTTATTATATAAAATCCAATTTAAAACTAAACTGAATTTACATTTTGTTTCCAATTTCATTAATTTTATGTCTAAAATAGTTTTTCGCATTTGCTTTTCGGTTTGTTTGTTTTGCTTGGCTTAAATTAATTGAGTTTATGTACTTATTAACATGTGCTTAGAACTATTCCATTTTTAAATGTATATATACTAAATGTACATACCATTTGTTAAACATTTTCATGTACTTTTCCAGTTGAAAATCAAGTATTATTAAATATCAGTATCATATATGTAGTAGTCATATCAATTGAGTACTAAGAATCTACAAAACAAAGAATACTTATAATTCATCGCTTTTTTTAAGCACGACACATCTAAATGTAACTTCAGTAAATATTATTTTATTATTATTAATTTCTTATGTATTTATATACATAATTAAAATAGCAACTAATTGAATAGTAGAATACAGTACTTTTATTATCTTCTATGATTTGCCCCGACTGGTCTCTTTAATTTTATTAAAAAAAATTTTCGTATATTCCTACTAGTAACTGACAGTAGTGTTGTTTACCATTAAATACTGAACAGAATATGGTTTCTAATTGTGAAACAAAAATCTGTAGTCTGTCTGTTCTCAATCAAAAATTGGAAAAACTTCCAATTCAAAATTCAATTGTAGAGGGCAAACCAAAGGATCGAAGAATTTTTTTATAATAATTTAAATTTTATAAAATAAATAAAATATATCTATTGTACAAAATAAACAAATAGGCGTTAAGAACAAACGATTCAAAAATAATTATAGTAAGATGACACCCGAAACAAAACAAAACAGCTCGAACGGCTATAAGTAATTGCAAATAAATATTATAAAATAAAAGCGGAAAGAGGTCGTAGTAAAAACAAGTATGAACCGGCAAATATAGTAACTATTTCAGCAAGTTTTGAAAAACACAACAAAATTTGTTAAAAATATACTGTTACGACACAAAATAGCTTTGCTTATACAAAGATATAATCAGGTGTAAGCTTAAAGTAGTTCATTATGAACTTTTGTTACTGCCATATTACCTTTTACAAAAGTTTGCAACCAATAGCATAGCAAAAATTAGCATTGAAATGCGTATGCGCCTTAAAGTATGCTACATTTTCGATGTTTGTTAGTTAACAACACTGTAGCAAATGTGCACAAAATATATGTACTATTTTGAATCAAGAGAAATACCGTTAAGTATGGTATGTAAATTTAAATTTTTGAAAATTCTTTCGAAATTACAACCTAAAGTCGTAACATCGGTTTCTGACTTATGACATTTTATTCGGCATTTCAGTTTGTCGTTTTCTTTTGTAAGAAATTTTTAAGTTTTTGTGTTAATGGGGACATACATAAATTACTTTTATACAATTTTCAAATGAATTGGAAGGAATATGATTTATAAGTTAGCGAAACTATAATAGTAGTAACTAATAATACAATGTTCATAACGCTTAGTGATCGAATATAAGTTACTGTTATACCTATTTCATTTTTTTATATCTTTGTTTATGGTATACATTTACAAAATAGTAACAATTCGAATTTTCGAAATTGCATTCTTTCATTTTAATTAAACAAATTACTTGCGTGTTGATTATATAGGTACTATATATTCACCCAATACTTATTTACTAAGCTGTCTTTGTAGTACTAATGTGACGAGTATATTATGTATTTACCATTTTTGTTTTAAGTAATTAAGTCATTTTCGAAATAGGCATTTACATTTTTCAAGTTTTATTTAACTCACAGGTATTATTTGTCTGTAGTTGATTTTGGTTTTAACTTTTGGGTTTATTCGTTAGTTTTAGGTTCGAAATATTCACACTTGTTGGAAAAATCAGTGTGTGTATATGCTAGTCACAATTACGAAGAACTACTTGGAGATCTTTTATATGTGATTTTGTTGCTTTATTGGTATTGTTGCTGATTTTATTGTTTTAATATTTCTGCAATGATTGTGTAATTTTTGTTCTAAAAATAATACAAACAATTTTTTTTCATTTAATAGAAATCAAAAAATTGGTAAAAAATATTTTAATATTATTATATGCAATTCTTTACAAAAGTTTTAGTGTTTTTACTTCACATAAAACACTTGCACAGAAGGCATAAAATGGCAATACATTTTAAATTCAAATTCGATAACTGTAAAAAGTAAATTTTTTATTAACTAATTTGTTGTGTGTTGTTATGTTAAAATATAATAAAATATTGTTTATGTAAATTTTTATGTCGCGGCAATTGAAGAAAATTTTAAATAAAACCGATTTGTCTGTAAAATTATAAATTTTGGGCAATAAAATTTTGTATGTAAATTTAGTTTATATAGTAATTACTTTTAATGCACTAAACGAAAAAAAATTAATTTATGTTACATTTAGCATTTTCTCCTCAATAAAATAGTTAATAATTCTACTAAAAAAAAATTTACACATTGAAATAAATTGTGACAAACAAGTCGAAATCTTGTATTTTTTTTAAATATTCTAATTTCTAATTTAGGTAACTTTTTTCAAAATTAATTAATTAATGTTATTATTATTTGTTTTCAAATTGAATTCAAGTTTTTAATTCTTCTAAAAGAAATTTAAACATTGAAAAACATTCTGACACATATCCAAATCTTGTGATTATTTTAACTTATTCTAATTTCTAATTTAGATATCTTTTGTTTTCAAAATTAATTAATTAATGCCATTGTTATATCGTTTTCAAATTGTATTTCATTTTAAAAGTTTTTTTATTGCTTACTTTTAAAATGAAATGAATTTTAAATAGAGTGTTTTCAAAAATTAAAAATTGCGCGCTATTAGGTAAAAATAGGGCTATTTTTGATTTTAAAAATTTGATAATGTTAGTGTAAACCTTTCGAAACAAGTTTTTTTCAAATACTTGAATTTATATTTGAAGTTTGTCTTATTTCTTTCAGCGTTAAGTCTCCATACACCATATAAATATACATATACTAAAAAAAATTGTTTTCATTAATATGTATGTATGAATGAATTGTTGACAATTAGCTTTTAGCAGTTCAAAAAGCGACTAGTATATACCCGGTATTAACATGACTAACGAATAACCCGACACTGAGCGGTTTTTTTCTAATAATAATATTATTATTGTTACTTTGTATTACAGCAATTAAGAATTGCTTTACTGTAGCTAATTGGAGCGATTCTTGATTTTAACATGCAGCTATAGATTTTAATTTTCTTTTGACACGGCATAAAATTGTAATTAAGTGATAAACAGTTACAGCACATTTCAGTGCTTAAAACTAACTAATTCAATTCTAACTGATTTTTACTTTTAGTTGTTGAACAGGAACCTATTCAAGGAAAATGTTTAAACACAAATTTCGTAGCTTAAGACATAACTAAACAACATACTCGCACATAGAATTCTTAACTACACAAATTGATTACACATATAAAGTATACACGCACACATAGAAATGAATACATTATTACCTGGTTGTCTTAGAAAAAGTAGGTTGTTGGTAAAATCGTTGCATTATTGAGAAATCGCCCTAATTGGCCACCGGCCAAACCCTACGCCAGCACTTGCGCCTTCAGCGCCTCCGCCTGCTGGGCGGCGACAATCTGCGCTGCAGCTGCTGCTGCCGCCGCCGCCGAATTCGAAGTGGCGCTGTTGGCGCTGGTTGTGGCGGCTGGTGCCGATTGTATGATTGGTATGGCGGTGCCGTCGGCGGTGAGCAGCAATGTTTGTTGTTGGTGATGTGTTGCGGCAGCTTGCACAGCTTGCAAAACTGTTGTGGTATTACCGTCGACGCTGCTGTTGGAGCTGTTAGCGCCGGCGCCACCGCTACTACCATTCCAATCTTGTATCGCTATTATTTGTTGTTGTTGCTGCGGTTGTGGTTGTGGCTGTTGTTGTTGTGTTAATTTGCTCAACTGCTGTGGCGTCGCTGTGGCGAGTATCGTGGAACCATCGGGAGCAGTGAGCAGAATTGTATTCGGCGGCAGATTAATGCATGTCACTGTGCCATTCGGTTGCAGCGTTTGCAGTTGAATTTGCGGCAGTGCTGTAGCAGTTGTTGCTGTCAACGCGCCGCTACCATTATTAGCAGGCACTAAAACAGTCGTAGTGTTGTTGGTGTTAGCATCGACATCAGCCTCTTCGACAGCGTCCCCCTCACACTCATTTATGGTGTCGGCTGTGGTCGTGTCTGCGGTAATCAGTACTTCGTCGGTGGACTGACAGGTTGAGTTCTCGTCGGTCTCGATCACCTCCTCCACCAAATCAACAGAGTTCGGTGTGTCAGCCGGTGGTGGTGGCGAACACGAAGTGGAATGTATTGGCGAGTGCACTGGCGATGTTGAAGCGCTGCAGATTAACGCCTCCGGCGCGCTAGTTGCCACTTCCACGCTGCTGATCGATTTTGCTGTCAATGCAGTGCCCTTCGGTATACGGAATTTGCGTAAAATTTGCGCGGTAGTCGCCGACATAGCGAGCGTGTTCGGTGACATCGAACCGTCATCGCCACTCGTGGCTGTAAGCAGTTCGTCGTCCTCTTCCTCAATTACAACGGTTTCAGTGCCGGTGGTGGTATGTAAAATTTGATTGTTGTTATTATTGTTTGCATGCGTTGAGGCCGACGAGATTTTTAACATGCCAGGTGCCACAATTGTTGCTGTCTGTGTGGCGGCGGCGCTGCTGTTGCTTGCAACAATTTGCGTTCTATTGCTGTTGGCGTTGTTGTTGGCGATAATTGGACGACGCGTCACTAACAGTTGCACTGTACGCGGCTGTATCGTTGTCTTCTTGTTGTTGTTACTGCTGCTGGTGGTGGTAATAACGGTATTGTTGGCATTTCTGACGATCGTGCTGCCGCCTTGTGCCCCAGCAATAGTCCTATTTTCGAGAAGCCCACAATTTTGCAATGTTGGTAATCGTATTTGTGTTGGTGTTGGTTTTGGCGTTGTTTTAGATTGGGAAGAGTAATTGGTTGAGGTTAATTCATCGGGAAAACGATCATTCAAAACAAAATCAGTAAATTCATCAACGAAACTATTAACTGCATAATTGTTGTTGTTGATGTTGTATTTAACGCCGCCATTGCCTGTATTGGTGACTGCAAGCATCTGTTGGCTCATGCTGTTGTACTTATCACCAAAGCCTCTACTGCCTTCAACGCCGCCGCCGCCACCACCGCCGACACCACCAATGATGCCCATATTGATGGACTTAATCATCGTTGTTGGCGGCGGCGGCTTTGACGGCGTGCTTGTGTTTGTTGCTAACACGTAACTGTTGTTGTGGTTGCTGTTGCTACGTTGTGGCTGTGTTATGGGTCTAAAAATTGTTGGTAGTTTTTGGGGTATTGGTGTGCTTTTGTGTATGGCTTGTGTGGCGGTCTGAGTGTGTGTATTGAACACTGTATTAGTTGTTGTTGTTTTTGTTGCTAGCGTAGTTGCTAACACGTTTGGCGCTCTTGTTGTTGGTGTTGTACTGAAATGATGGTTGGTATTGTTGTCACCAATTGAGGATGATGGCAATGTTGTTGGTGATGATGATGATGATGATGGCTTAGGAATTACTGTTGTTTTTGGTGCAAATGTTGTTGAGTTTTTTCTAATGGGTGTATGCCTCGATAGGGGATCTTTTGGTGGTCTACCGGCTTTACGTTTTATTGGGTGTAGTGGTGGTGGTGGTGTTGGTTGTTGGAAGGGGAAATTCGTGTTGTCAATGAGTGGTTGGTGATAGTTGTCGTTGTTGTTGTTTTTCTGTTTGTGTTTGTTCTGATTGTTGGCAACGTTAATTAGTTGGTTTTTAGAAAAACCTATACGTTTCCCGTTGACGAAACACAAGAAGTAGACATACAGACACAATATAAACACAGACGCAGAAATTAATTATCATGTAAAATAAATAAAGAAAGAAAGACAAAATAAATTAGTTTACTATCAAGTCGAATATCGAATTATTTTCATTCTAAAAACTTAAAATTTATCTTACTATTAGAGTGTAGATGCAAATATGGCCGCGAATTATTGAAGTAAATTTTAATTAGGGCTGTTAATGGCAGAACGAAATTCGATAGCTTCGATTATTGATCAAATTAAGATATCAAACTGGTTTTATTTTTTTTAATTTTTGGGTGAGTGTAGAATTTTGACACACAAAACGCTTGGAAAAACTGAAAATTTTATAATAACATCAAAAAATTTAAATATATATATAGATAAATGTGTTCTTTTTTTAATTTAGCGTTTAAATATTACGTTAAAAGTTTTTGTATGGAAATCAGTTTGTATAAAGTTAAACCAAAAAGCTTTAATTACTCATCAAACTATAATTATATAATTTAACAGCCCCAATTCAAAAATAGTTAGAAAAATTATAGATATGGTATGAAAAGCAGTGGACTTATTGGTATTATTAAGTAAATGCATTAAAAATAAATATTTTTTCCTTGAATAAAAATTTGTATGTATATAACTGCGGCATTTATGCAAAAGAAAATAAAGTTGAATTTTAATATTACCACGAATATGATAATGAAAAGTTGTTTTTATATTTAATTTTACATACATATATATTTTTTGAATTTTTAGTCTCTTCTGCACCAATGCCGACACATAAAAAAATACAAAATTTTCAATACAAAAATGTACAAATTAAAAAATATGTATTTATTTATGAAATATATACATATATAAAATAATTTTTGAAAAATTTATGAATGTATAAAAAATGTTAATACAAGCATACATACATATATACCTGCAAGCAACACAAAAATGTGTTCTGCGTGGGTGAGTGTGTAAAATATAACAATGTGCATTAATTAATATGAATTGTTGGATTTAATGAACAAAAAAAAATTAACTTAGAAGTAAAAATGTTGTAATGAATTCAAAAAGTAAAAAAAAAATATATACAAAGGATATATTAATAAAAAATCAACCGAATCATAAATAAAAATTTATTATTATTGGATGATTTTATAAAAGCGAATAAAAAAAAAAAAATAAAGGCAAATATCCATACAGCAATTGGTAGAAATGTGCAATTATGTCTAAAACGAAAATGTCCAACTAAGTGTTCAGCAAATAAATTGCTGATACTAAGAATTATTTAGTCAAAAAAAGTGAAACAGCCTTTGAAACAATTTTTGGAATTGAAATTTATGAATTTAGAAAAATTAAGTTTTAGTAGAAATCACATAAAATCAAATTTGAAAATTTCGATCATACATATTTGTAGAACAACAGCCCTAATACAACTAAAGCATCTCAAACATTCACACCAGGCACACAATTTCAAAAATTTTCACACAAAACCAATTTGAAATCAACGCTAACAATGGCAAAGCTTTGCATACTTTTAACAGCTAAGGGTAACTTTGAAAACAACCTAAAATGAAGACAGCAACGTCAATTTGGAGAACTTGAATGTCAATTCCTTTTCCATACCTACGCGAGAAAACAAAGTATTTATTTTGCATTTTCGCTGCGGAATACGTGTTCAGCGATACCACAAAAAAAACAACTAAAATTAAAAATAACAACAAAAACGAACATATTATATTTTTTTAAGAAAACACATACCTCTGGTACAAATTTTATTGAACTGTAGTAGCAGTAGTATGCAGGTAATGTTGATATAAGAACAAAAATTTAATCTAAATAAAAACGTTAGTCGGCGACGCGCGTCTTCGCGTGAACTGCTACTTTTGCTGGCGCGTTAGAAAACGAACAACTTTTTTTCTTTATTTTTAGCTTTATTCGGGGGCTTATTATATATTTATTACTTTATTAATTATTTTGCATTTTTGCATAAATTATGATTTTTTGGCTTTGAACTTTTAACAATCTTTTTTCTCCCATTTCATTATTTTTATTTGTTTTATTTAAATTATAATTATTATAATTTTGTTTTTTTTTTTGGTAATTCCTCCTTAGCGGCATAGCGTGGACATGCTTTATTTATTAAAGCGCTAACAGAACCGCCTCGCTGATATCATAGCTGTACATTTGTTTTGTTATATTCATTCAGTTGTGCATTTTTACATGTGTATGTGGGTTGTGTGTTTGTATGTGTGTGCGTGGATTGGACACAGGACATGTTTATTGTTGATTGAGCGTTCGCAGTTGTGAAGGGGTTGGGTTGAAAACGAATGTTACGCGTTATTATATATTTTTAAATATATAAAAGGAAATGAAAATAAGAAAAAAGAGAAGAAGAAAACAAAACAAAAATGTCAATTAAATTAATGGTTTCAATCAAAAAAATATATCATAAATTGTATTTATATAAATAAACACAAGGAATAAATGAATGAATTAAAAGGACAAAACAAGTACCCAACAATATATAATTATATAAAAAACTAAATGCAAATTTAGTGCTTTGCAACTGTAGCAGCTAAAGCGAAATGGAAACAAATATGTGTAATAAATAATATATAAGCATTCAACCATACTTATAAAATTCAGTCACAAAATAAGTCAAAATAAAGAAAGGAACAAGAAAAGTACAGTGAGAATTTTAATAAACTACCAAACCAAAAAAAACGTCAGAAAGGTCAGAAGGAATAGAGTACGAATTTGTAATTTCAACTAGTAATATTTTAAAAGCAAAATTTAAAATTCGATATAAATAATAATGCAATCTACTTTTTCAAAATACGAATGTTTGAATGTAAAAAATAATTCAAATATTATATTATTATTATTTTTGATAAAAATATAAAGAAACTCGAAAGAGCATCAAATGAAGCAACATTTACCGTATTTTAGGTTATTTAATATTTTATTTTGAAGTGAAACATTTTTCGGACACATTTTTGTATCCAACGGGATATTGTAAAATATGAACTTTTGGAAAAATAATATTTTTAGTAGAGTCCCAGACACCTTTTTGTTACATATGACTTTGAAAATAAATTTCAGTGAAATATAATTTTTCAAATAAAATGTTTTTACCAGAGACCGTAAATAATGATTATTGTTGCGATTTTTAAATGAAAAAATCGCATACTTAGAATCGACATACAAAAAAACAGATAACGTCATTGTTAATCCTTTTTCGATGATCTTAGCGTTTCCATGATGATTTTTAATTTCTAATATTTATTATTTCTTTACCGATAATGATTAATTTTGGCTAATTTTACAATTAATAAATATTTATTATTTTTGAGCAAAAAAATATTTAAAAAAAATTTTTATTTATATTATTTGTGATTTTTTGCACAAAATAAAACTTATTTTTAGATCACAAGTTTCTTGTGAAAGTTTTTGCTAACTTCGTTGCAGGTCCCTTTAGAACACATCTCAAATCACATCTTCTCAGGATCAAATTTATGTTATAATATTACCGCCCCCCTTCCGCCCCTCCGAGAATTAGAAAAAATCTAATATCAAGCGTAATTATTGAGCTAGGGTCTTGAAATTTCACACACAGAATATACATATGTACTGGTTTGCATGACTATTGCAAATGGCATCGCTATCGGATCCAAAACATGAAAGTTATTCAAAAAGTAATTTCTGTCGGCAAATACGATTTTAGCTGCAACGAGTTCATTGAAATAATCATTTCTTACCAAATTTTTGCGTTTTTCATTCGTTTTTTGTTCTAAAAGAGCATGCAACAAAGTAAGCAAAACACTTCACAAGAATCAAAAGTGAGTTTTATTTTGAGCGAAAAATATTAAAAATCATAATATGAATAATCATAAAAAAAATCATAAAATAATAACTATTTTTGATAATTATTTTTTCGCTCAGAAATAATAATTTTTTTTGTGATTTATTTGTAAAATTATTCAAAATTAATAATCATTATTACGTGATTTTTAAAATAAAACTTATAATCATTACGGTCTCTGGTTTTTACAATTAAAAATTATTATTCGACAATGAAGATTAAAAAGTTTGTACAAATACAAATAAAATAAAAAACTAATAATTTTAAGTTGTCTACTTCTTACACATCGCTTAAAAATGTGTCGGCGCAGCCATTACATTAATAGAGAGTGTAGAGTTTGTAGAGAGTAATAGTGTATTAAGAGTGTGTGAGAAATAGAAGTAGTTAGCAGCAACATTACAACGCAACAACAGGGTACAAATGTTCACGCTGCATACGTTTAGCAGCATTTTATAGTAATGTATTATAAATACAAAAATATTTGCTTAAAATTTAAAAAAATTACGATAAACATTAAACTGAAAAATAATTAAAATTTGTTTACTACCAAAATATAATTATTATATACCATAAATTAAACTAAGTTAACCAAAAGCAAATACTAATACAAATAAATATGTATACAATTCAAAGCACTTTTCATACTTTCATTTTCTATATTTGTACTTATTACTTTGTTAGCGTTACAGTAACAAATTAATACTGGAAAAAGATCAGTTAACAAGTTCTAAAAATTTTATTACAATATACAATTGAAATATTTAGTTAGTCTCTTTTTCATGTTAGCGTTGGCACACACGCCGGCGATTGTTCGGGCAGGCAGTCAGGCAATCGCAGCGCTGTAAATCAATAACAACAATCTAAAAGTTATATTAAAACGGTTTAAACATACGTCAATCACTACTACTTCAACTTATTCTTCCATAAAATCTTGCAAATTTTACTTTTACAAATACAAAAATAAATAGGAGATTATGTATATTGAGAGCAATTGATATGGAAACAATTTGTGTTACCTAATCTCTTTGGTTTCGAGCAGTGACTGTCCGTTGCCATCGTTCACCGAGCTGATCATCGATGACGGCGAGAAGGGCAGGTGATACATGGAGCTCGCGTCCAATGCGTACGCATCCGCTGCACTTTTGATCAACAAATCGTTCTTGAGCTCCATGAAATGATGCTGCTGTTGTATGTGATGCTGCTGCTGGCCGCCGCCGCCAGCCGTCAACTGGTGCTGCTGCTGCTGCTGTGTATGACTAGTTGTGGCGCCGGCCACTTGCTGATGCAACGCGTCCGCGGTAGCACCATGATGTCCCGCATGTGTCGTGAACGTGTAATGTGGTGTCGTGCTGGTCATTGAGGTGTATGGACAAAGTTCCGCTAAATCGCTCGGTTCCAATTTGGTTGTCGTCGCTGTGGCGGTGGGGTAGCTTTGCAAGCCGTCGGGCGTGAGTATCTGATAGCTTTGCACAGTGCCAATGACATGGTGTTGTTGTTGTTGATGTTGTTGCTCTGGCGGCGCCGGCGTTGCGGCAGTCGACGACAGATACGCAACATTCTCCAACTCATAGTGTTGCTGTTGTTGCTGCTGCTGCTGCTGTGTCACAACATTGCCTGTATGCTGTTGCTGATGCTGAGTGGCTGTTTTCAGCTGTTGTTGTTGTTGCTGCTGCTGAGCCTGCGCGACAGGCGATGTCGTGGTGATGATAGTCTCTTGTGGCGAGCCGGTTGGCAGCGCCTGCAGCTGTATATGCTGTTGCGGCGTCGGCTGATAAGCATTCGGCGTCGTTTGCTGTGTTGGCTGCAGCAACTGTTGCGGTGGTTGTGTATGACGCGCCGGCTGTGTGGTGTAGATTGTTTGTGTGCCGTCAAGCGTGGTGGTGGCGTTGAGCGCCTGCAATGATTGCAGCGGCACCAAATTGCCCGCTTGATCTTGTATCATAATACTTTGGCCATGTAATTGTTGCTGTAACAGCGCTTGCTGCAAATCAATCTGATTGGAATAGAGGAGCGTTGTGCCGGCGGCGCCAGCAGCAGTGGCGGCTGTTGCTGACGGCTGCAGCACCTGCGTGGCTTGCGCAGACAATGCAATATGCTGTGGCGGTGGAGCGTGCGACTGTTGCTGCTGCTGTTGCTGTTGATGTGCAACGCGTTGTTGCTGCAAGAGCGCAGACGTAGCGCCGGGATTGGCCAGCGCCAGCTGTGCACCACCGGGCAAAATCATGCCACTCAAATCGATGGGCGGCAATGTCTGTTGTTGTTGTACCTGCACTTGTTGTGTGCCTGCCTGTTGTTGCAGTTGCACATTGATAGTAGCTGTTTGCGCCTGTGTTGCATTCACACCGGCTGCTTGTTGCTGCACCACATCTAAAACGCTATCGATTTGCGCGAGACGCTTACGCTTTGCTTCAACGGCATTCTCTTCACTGCCAATATTGACAGTCGCCATCGCTGTGTTGGCAATGGTGGCGCGTGGTTTCCGCGCACGTGATGGTCGTGCGCTGGCGCCTCGCGTACGCTTACCTGTATTGACTTCCGGCGATTGCTTCACCGGTGTGGCCGCGGGTGTAAGAGTGCCATCGGGTACTTGCATGTCGCCGTGCTTATCCTTTTTATGCATTTTCATTTTGTCGGGACGTGAAAACTCCTTATTGCAAATCGGGCAAGCGAATATCTTACGATTGTCGCCTTCGTGGAATAGGTAGGCGTGACGTTGGAAACTGTATTTGTTTTTAAATGTTTTGAACACATCATTCTTGGCACACACCAGGCAGTAGGAGACGCCGTCAATGATATGTTCGTAGCGCTGGATGTCCAGACCGCGCACCGACATCTTTTCCAAGTACTCGCCCTGTTCGTCGGGGGAAATCAAACGTGTTTTTCGCTTGCGTTTTTGTTTTTGCGGCGGTATCGCTGGTACGCCGTTGGCGGGCACTATTATCGTATCGGTTATAGTTTGATTCATTTCTTCGTCTTGTTTTGTTATAGTTTTATAAGTAAATTGTGGTTGTTGTTGTTGATGTTGTTGCTGATGCTGCTGCTGCTGCTGTTGTTGTTCCATTGACGATCCATCATTGTGAATGCCGTTTGAGTTATCCTCCTCTTGTTTTATCATCTGATATTCTTGATACTCGGTATCGTCACCCTCAAATTTAATGATCGTGGTGGCGCCACCACCCCCGTTCACTTCGGTGACCTCACCATTGTAGTTTTCAAAAACGATTGTCGTCGGTGTTTGTCCATCTTCACCTGTAGTGGTGATGTAATGATACTGAGGCTGCGACTGCGTCTGCAGCGTTGTTGTGGTGCCATCGCCATTGACGATAATGTGATTCGTTTCGTCGTTAAGTTCAGTTTTGATTGCGTTAAGCGGTGTGGCAGTGGTGGTTGTGGTGGTATAGGTCGATGTGGCGGCAGCAGCGGAATTATGTTGTTGTTGGAGATGATGGTGCTGGTGGTGGTTATTATTGGCGGCGGCGGCGGCAGCGGCGGTCGAGGTGAGCAGTATGGGGGACGAACTAATAGTGGTGACCACATTGTCTTAATTTTTAAAAATTGGTTTCAAATGTGTATAAATGTAAATAATCTTTTTCGTTTACAGTTTTTGGGATTTTTGTTGTTTGTTTAAACAAAAAAAAAAGTACAAAATAGAAATTATAAGAAAAACTAATATGAAAATATACAAAAGATCAACGCGTTCATAATTTCAACTACTGAATAAAGAATTTATAAAGAAAATATTAAGAAAAAATACAAAAATTACGATAGCAGTAGATAATTTCATAGCAACGTGCAATTCTCTTTTACTTTTTGAAATACATAATGCAATTAGACACTGGAGTTAAAAAATTTTCTGATAAATTTTTTTATTTTTAGTTCGACAGTTTATGTTTTGGATTGCATTTTGAGCCTCTACATGTGCATTCAATCGACCTTCGATATTGCAAACTCACTTCTTATTTTGTTGTACACTTTTATTTACAAGTTCGCTATTACCTTAACACCATCTAAATATTTAATTATTTTGATATTAATTATAATTTTTTTTTATAAATTTTACTAAGAATCATTAGAATTGAGAAAAAATTAATTAGCACATTTTGGCTCTGATTTTTTATGCTTTTTTGTTTCAAGTTAAACATTTTTTTTAAGTTTGTTTAAAAAATAATCAGCTATCGACTATTCCGATACTTTTGGCTCAACCAGTTCTTAAATTAGTGAATAATTTAAAAACTAATTTATCGTAAGCATGTGTATTTTATTTGAAACCAATTTTTAACTATTTTTTGAAATTTGAGATTTTTGTTTCGAGCTTTTTATGATATTACTTCACACAATCGGCTTGTTCCATTTTGCATAACCAAAATTCGTATAAATTGCTTGTGTTGCATAGAAATTTTAACAGAATAATTGAAGTATAAATAATAAGAAATAATATTTTTTGAGCGATAACGTTTGGCAATTTCAACACTATATTAATAAGAAATACAAACTAGTTTTACAAAAGTTACTTAAAAATAAAAATATATATATGTACATACATATATAAAAAATTATAAAACTTATATTTATACGAAATTTGTTTTTGAACATAATTAATAAGAAAATCAAATACAATATTAGAACTAATTAAAAAATAAAAATGTATATACTTAATTGTCCATTTTTGTATTACTGTTGTAATTTGTTGCTGCTCATTATGACATTGTTTAATATATTTCTATTTTTAGAACTGAAAGCCGTTTTTTATTATTAATTATTAATAGCTGTCTTCGATTGTTCATTACTCTGCTCTCCTGTCAAAAAGTTTACATGTGAAAGCAACAACAAAGTTAACAAATTGATTTGAAACAGGAGAGTATGCGGATACCTCATTAAAGTCGTATAACTATTGTGAATGGTTTCAATGACAAATTAAATTACAAATTTTATTTTTTTTTCATGTATTTTTAAAACATATGACTTAAAATCAATTATAATTATTTATAGAAAACCAAAATAAATGGTTACACCAACGTTTTTTAACGCGTAAAAAGAATTTCTCAACTATGAGAGAATCATAACACACGCGCATGCGTCAGAAGACATGTTAGCGTAGAGTCGCACTACAAGTGCTGCCCGTCTGTTTGAGCATCTGGTATAGTTTGTACGATTCGCTGGAGAGTAATACTTGGCGAATCGAAGACAGCTAATATTTGGTTTACAAACAAGCCAAAAAGTAGGCCAAGCGGTTATTGGCTTAAACTACTTTCAGGCGTATTGTATTGAAAGTAAAATGAAAAGCTGCAAGGACATTTTCTTTTCTTTCTATTAACGGTTTTCAGACTGAGGCCAGAGTTGTAATTCTTGAAATGTGCGCTAAATTTTAATTCAAAATGGAATCTCTTAAAAAATAATATGAGCATATATTTTTATTGCTGCTTAATTTAAAATAACTGTGCGAAAAAGATTTGAGTAAAATTAGATTCAACTGAAGTTTTGATGGAAAAGGTATATCAGTATGACAGTGTTGCTGTGGTAAACAATATACTCGTATGTTTTTGGCAAATATTTCAATTTAGGGAACTTACGAATTTCTGGCAATGAACAGCTGTCGGACTAAAGCTGTATTTGTATATTGTGATATTGAAGAAATAAAATTAAATGAAATATATAAATATATTGGAAAGGAGAAAAAAATTACAATAAATATTTTAGTATTTGAAGAAATTCATTATATGGAAATAAAGAAATGAAATTAAATCAGAATTAGTCCATTTTACCATACTATATTTTGAGTACTGAATATTTTAACATTTAAAAGTTGCTTTAAAAATGGCGGTACAAAATATTTTATATATTTATTATATATTTTGTGGTTGTAACTAAAACCTAGTTAGAACTTCGAATGCTTAAACTTAGTCGTAAGTAAACAAATGAAACCCAGATATAATTATAAAAAATACGATTCTAAACTTTGCTTATTAGCTTATTACTGTGTGAATTTAGTAACATTGAAAAAAACAAACTTTAATGAACTTCGCAGCGTGGTATTACGGTAACAGGTTAGATGATTGCAGCATGATTTTAATAATGGTGAATGGAAAACAATTTAAATGGACTTTAGAAAGAAAACAATAATAATTTAACATAAATGAAAAGGTAAAATTAAATATATATAAATTTAAATAAAAAATTTTATATACAAATTTCCAAAAAATAATTTATTTTAAAATTTAAAGCAATTGGCTTTATGTTAAATACTTCAAAAATGTACTTTAATAACATTTTAATTGTTGTCTTTTATTATTAATATTATTTCAATTTATTTTAATATTTTTTTTTTCTAACTAAAAATAATAGTATTAGAATTTATTTTTTTTAACAAAATTTATTCATTTTTATAAATTTTAAAAGTATAAAATTTCATATAGTGAATACCAAAAAAGTCTAATATAAAATTATTATAAACATAGTATATAATTACATTGTCATGTATTTAACGGATTTTCTTTAAAAACCAACTGCTTTTGAGAAATATTTCAATAATGTTGTCAGAGTTAGAGCCAATTGCTTAATTAGAAGAAATGCCAAACGTAAATGAAATCAGGTAAAGAGTTATTCAAATCCAACTTACTACATACAACATATAATATACAATAATAACAACTTTCAAATTAACAAAGAAGATCAATTAAAACTAATGTTAGTTTCAAATCAAAAATCATTCTACACACAGCTACATACTAAGTAGGCAAATAATATGTACTGCCACGTTGTGGGGCACAGACACCTACCTTGCGCTGCGGCGGCCGACGTCACAGCAATTGTATTGCCGTTGATGCTTTGGGCAGTCAATTGTTGTTGCTGCTGCTGTTCGTGCTGTTGCTGACGTTGTTGCTGCTGCTGTTGTTGTTGTTGTTGTTGCTGATGCTGATGTTGCTGATATGTAGCTGCATCACAAACAATTTCGCTTTGCAACTGATAAACAGCGCCATCCGTGCTGTTGCCACCCGACGCCGATGTTGCGGGTATTGTAATGTATTGTGTTTGCTGTTGTTGTTGCTGCGCACTTTGCTGTGCAACGATGCCATTTAATGTGCTTGCCGCCGGCAACATTGTTGTATAAACAATTGTTTGCTGTTGTTGCTCCTGCTCGAGCTGCTGCTGCTGTTGTTGTTGTTGACTAGATGTTGTAGCTGTTGTTATGGCGTTGGTGGTATTAGCAACAGCCGTAGAGGCGGCCGAAGCGTTCGATGTCGTTGGCATTATGAGCAGTTCGGTGTGTTGTAAATTCACTTGTTGACCGATTTTCGGTATTTTACCCTCGAATTTGCGTGTTTGTTGCATGAACTGCAACACACTCGGTACAGAGGGGAGATCGTTGTTGTGATTGCTCAGCTGATCGCCCAACTTACGCACCACACGTATAACGGGTGTGTGTGCAGTTGTGGTAGTTGTATTTGTTGTGACTGTTAAACTGCCGTTACCTACAAAAAGTGTTGAAAAACATGCAATGAATTATGACAATCAAAAGATAAAGTCAAGAAGACTCACATTTTCAAGCGGAAAATTTACTTTGTACAATTTTTACAATTTCGCTTTTTTTTTGGGTTTGGTTGTAAAATTTTGTACATGAATTCTGGTTTTGATTCTTTTTTGTTTGGTTTCGTATGATGTTATGGAACATGTATAATTTATTTTATTGTTCTTAATTTAACTTTTTTCTTCATTTTATTTGTTAGATACACGCTCACAAACGGGACAAGTGAAGCAATCAATTGCTGGTGATAGATGGTATGGAGGGGTAAAGGAAATTGAAAATAGGAAAAAGTATTAGTGCAACGGAGAATGAAGTAGTGAGTCATTTTGTATGCTTACCGCCAATTAAAAATACAGTGATAGATTATCTTATAAACCTTCTAGAAACACAAGCCACAACTTGGAAAGTTACAAGATGAAAATTTTCACAATTCAAACCGCTAAATTGAGTGGTACAGAGTAAATTGTATGCCACTAGAAATCTCAAAATCTCAATATTTTGCAATCCTTATACCGAAAGTTCAACGAACCTGCAACTAATAACAACGCAACCACAAAATGTCCACCTGGAAACGCTAAACAAGTACACAAATAATTTCACCAAATGTAATTTTCGAAAACAATTTCTGCCAATTAAAATTTTGTCGAATTGTCCGAAGGGCCACACAAATAAAAGAAAAGATCAAACAACACAGTTTTCGCTTACACTAAAAAGTATATTTTTCCGATGAGCATTTCAGAACAAAAAATCACATCATCATCTTCATCATCATCAATCATCAAATCAGTTCCACAATATATGCAAACGAGCCCTGCATATAAAGCCTGGCCACATTTTGCAGGGCAAATACAAAACTTATAGTACATACTAAATATCGCTTAAGTTTAAGAGAATACAACGGCGGCCAAAAAAATTACAAACAAAAATTTCCATAAAAAAAAAATTTCCATAAATAAAAAAAAAAAACAAATATAGGCAGTAACGGTACGTTTAAGTGCAGTTGACTTCGTTGAAATGTGTTCTCAAAAGAAAATCAAGTCGCAGAATTAACAAACGGTGAAAAAAAAACCAATTTAAGAGATAAAATTTATAAAGAGGAAATATAAATAGCAGAGTCAACATAAAGAGACAAAGTACAGGACATATGTAAGAGTTTCATTTTCATTTCAATTTTGTAATTTTCTTGTTCTTCTACATTTTCAATTTCAACGTGAAGATGCTTTGGAACTAGCGTCGTTTACAGATAGCCTTATAAAATGGCATTTTCATTATTTTAAACATATTTATGCACATATGGATATAATTTGCGTATATATTTACAACCTATAAGGTACAACAAAGTCCTACATAAAAAGAGAAATCAATTGTCTAAAGTTAATAAAATCACACATACACATATATAAAATATAAATAATGAGTTAAAAGCATACATATACAAATGATGTTAAATGAAATAAGTAATCAAATTAAATGAATGAAGAAATTCGCTATATATATATAATATATATTTGCGCATGAACCGTCGAAAATGAAAGGAATTAATTTCTGTTCTGATTTTTTTTTTTGCTGTATGTATATGTGTTTTGTTAGCAGGTATGCATGTATGTATGTATGAGTATGTTAAAATTTAATATAAAAGACATTAAATATAAGAATATACGAAATAGCATAAGAGTAAAAAAAGAGTAGTGCGTTAACACAATGTGATGTTATAAAATAAGTAGTTAGAAACAAAAGCATGATTTGTGATTTTTATGGGTTAAAGGATTTGTTCATTTGCGATTGTAGCCATTTGCGGGTGAGATAAATAGTGAATGCTCCTTTATTTCTCTAATTGCCTCACCTCCCGCCGCATCAGCAGCTGCAGCTACGGCTGACATGGTCACGGCTACAGCTGGTGTATCAACGTTGGGTGCTGGTGGGCTCGCAACACCGCCATTACTGTTGCTATTACTATTGCCGTTTTCATCTCTGCATTGCCCGTTTAGCGCCTGTGAGACGGCAGCAGCGGCTTTCAGCACACTCGCCACAGCCTCGGGTGGTGCCGCTTTCGTGAGCACTGTCGTGGCGATAGCATTTGGTGTTGTTGCGGCATTGTCTTTCTTTCGGCGATTTGGCGTCTTGCGTGGCGTTTTGCCAGGCGTCGTACATGGCTGACGACGTGCACGTGACGATGAGGATGTTGACGATGCCGGCGATATGGAGCGATCGTCTTTATTGCTATTGCGCGGACTACGACCTTTGCTGCTGTTTCGTGAATTCGTACGCCGCTTGCTGGTGAACCAATCGTCATCATAATCGGAATGATGTTTGCGCTTATGACGGCGCTTACGAAACTCCTCCTCCTCATCTTCATCTGAAAGTATAGAGAGCAAAATATATATTTTATATAAAAAATAATGTTGAGTCGGCGTGCTTGATAGAATTGCCGCCCACCTGTGCCATCATCGATGTAGTCTAATAATTCTTTTTTGGTCTTCAAATTGGCTGGACTTAATTGAGTAAGCAATTCAGCTTCACCGTCACCGATTATGGCCGGCTCTTCGTCCTCAGCGTCGAGTGTTAGTACGCTCTCTTTCAGCACAGCCTTAACCTCATCCGGTATATTGGGATTTAGTTGTATTTCCTCTAAATTCAAGTCAGGATTGCGCTCTTTGAATGACTTCTTTTTTGTAGGGTTACATTGTTTCTTCATTCTTTGAAAAACGTGCATTGGTAAATTGTCAGCCCCATGACTAAGGGCCGCAAATGGCAGTGATTGTTTTTAAAAAAGAAAACAGAATGTTAGTACACGCTTACAAGGCATATAAGAGAAATGCATTTGCCGGACTTGTGTAGGCGTGGCACACTTACTTCTTGTTGCATGTCACATCCAAATGTGATGGTAGAGGTGCGGCGGTTACAGCACTGGGCGGATCTTCTGGATGTCTGCCCACATCGTTGCCCTCCAGCCACGCCTGATAGCGGTCGGGCTGAAAGCGTTTCACGAATGTGTCCATGGAAATCTTAACCATGTCGTTGCTGTATGGAAAATAGTTTTCATAATGAATATACTTTTATTTGCATATGCAAATTAGTGCAATAGCGTACCTGCAGGTACATTGAACGGCACGTTTTCCATATTCAATCCACCGTTCCATGGCGAAATTTGTAGACTCGGCGCAATTGAAACCATGATTGAAGCCGGCATGGTAGCCGAAAGGAAATGTTATCATTATCTCACCAGCCTCTTGTGTTATCTGTGAGGAAGTGTAAGTATTTAGAATGCGTATGATTTAACGGTATGCGCAAGTATTTTTCGATTTTGTAGAAGACGACATAACTGGCGGACTAAGTTAGAGTAATACAAAAACTACATAAAAATAGTTGCCATAAAAGTGGATTTAAAATAGTTCAAAGCAATTTTGAGAACATAAGTGAGCGACTTCGATGTTCGAAATTAAAATTTATAATATTTCCATATTTTTTATGTGTTGTTATAATGTTCGCTTGTTTAATTCTGATCTCTTGTTTAGTTCTGATCTCTTGAGATTTGCAGGTAATCTATCTTTCGAACATGCTTATAATCATAAATTAACATGTAATTGATTTGTCACCAAACAATATAAATCAATATTTGTTTGTTGTATCGATATTTTGGTTGATTTTTTGGTTTAACATTTGTTTCAAACTATATTTTTTAGTACAACATTTACGAAAATCATTTAAGTTGTTATATTTTATTTTGAAATATTTTTACTTTGCTTCATATTTATTTATACTAGCAAATATATCATCAGTGCTTGATTTTCACATGTTCGAAAAGTTTCGAAGATTGTCAGTTTTGATCTACCGAAACTTCGAATTTAAATATTTTCATTGACATTTTGAAGCATTATTCGCAACAACAATCTGCTAGGCAACAGTTAATTTCGAAACACTTGATTTTCGAAAATTTAATAGACTTCTTAGTTAATTGAAATTTATTATTAATTCATTCGCCAGTTATGCCTGTTTCGCCTACACGAAAAACTCCCCCAACTCTTAACTTACTTTGCTCACTGGCACATCATGTTGTTTAAGCACTTGCGGGCTTATCAGTGTCATTTTATGCCGCAAATAAGCGTTGCAATTTTGATAGCTTGCCGGAAAATATTGATTTGCGACCTTCTCCAATTTGCGCCCATGTTCTGGTGGTACGACATACCAGGTTTTCGGTGCACCAAAGTGTAAATAATTTATCGAATAGAGATCCATATCTTCGGTGTGCCAGGCAAAGGTGGTCTTCCACATGCCAAAATACAAATACGCCGTATTCACACCATCAATTTGTATGCCATAATCCTCGTTGACAAAATCGAGTATTGTGCCCAGACGATTAATATTCCAACTCTTTGTAAAGTAAGGTGGAAAAAAATAGTTGAAACAATTTCTTTTCATTTTTTTTTTCGTTTTTGATCAGATACTTACATCCTGATCCACATCTGTAATACTACCGCTAACATCCGCGCCATAGATCGGCGCTACATAGGTAATATTCTTCCAATATTTACGCTCGAGATCTTCAAAGTCAAAATGTTTGGGCGTCTGATAGCGCTCTGTCGACGCCAACTCACTGAATTGCTTTACTGTGAGTGGTTTCTTTTGTATGTTTATTTGTTGGTAGAGACCCTGTTTGCCGGTCACGACCTGGCATATTGGCGCCGGTATGGTTATGTTGAGTGCATCCAGATCGTCGTAGCCACTGCGTCGTGGCACCCACTCGGGTGGTGGCACCACTTTGGCCAGACCGGCTTTGTGTGCACCTTGAGATTCCATGTAAGCGATGTATTTGGGAAAATTCTTGAATTCTTCCCAAGTCGGTCGGAAGACCATAATGCGCGGCACATCTATGCTGGATGAAGACATTTTCTGATTTTCTGTGTGTTGTTTTTGGTGTTGTGGTTCTTTAATTAAGTGCAATGCTTTTCACACACGCACTTACGCGCACACACACACACACGCTATCTAAATGTATGTAACCGTTAAAGCAACGTTTCTTTTGTTTATTTTTCGTTTCCGATTTTATTAATGGCTGCAAGAGAATAATATAATGGTAAGAGCAAAAAGGTATGGAAAAAATCATTTTCAAAACCTTTTTCAACATTTAACCGTTTGTTCGTATTTTCAGCGCGCGTAAGACCAACAAATTTAGAAAATTCAATTTGCATGCAAATAAGTTAGAAATATTTGTAAATGAAGCCATTGAAGTGCTTTGGCATGTAGTCAGTGCATATACACACACACACTCACGCAAGTGCGCGCGCACACACGCGCTGAGACAGCAACACTTCGAACGCACAGAATGCACTGTATAACAATAGTAATAACAATACCCACGCCATAATAACCAAAATATGAGAATTTAACGTACACAAAAAAACAACAACAACCACACTGCATTCCCTTCACAGGCTGCGCGATATTCGAAAATGGAAAAACCTCATCAAGTGTATGACTTATTCGGTAGGTACACAAGCCACAAGCAGGCTGGAAAAGCAGCTAAGTGGAACAAGAGCAACAACAACAGCAATAAGTACCAGGATTACATGCACACACACACATACAAAGCTACAAAAAGGAAACGCTTCAACACACACAAATATATAAACATAGATACTCGTGCATAGAAAGGAGGGCACTTAACAAATACGCGCCGCTGTTCTTCTAATCACATAGTACAAAAACAACAACTACAAAATTCAACAACAATGCTGGCAGCTGCAACACAAGCGTATGACCGTGCAGTCCCAATCTGTTTGAAAACACCGGTGCTTGTACTTGCTCACATTCTTGTTGCTATTGTTTTTGTTGGTGTTGTTGCATGCGCACTAGTACGCGGCATTCGGTGTGTACTGCCACTCAAAGCACACACATACATATAGTATATATATAAGTACATGTAGTCTATCAAACAAGCTGCTTGGCCGGTCGCCGTGCCTGCGCTCTTTCTTCTTCGGCTACCTTCGCCCAGAAGTCCCATGGCAGGCATTATTTCACGTCCCGCAAACAACTGGTGCGGCAAACAAATCCGTCAGCTGGCATAAAGCTATAGCCAACTCCGCTGAACGGTAATTAATGTGCCAAGAAGTGCAGTCGAAAATTTGGTGTATTGAATTTTTTTTTTGGTCAAACACAATGGATGTGCAATTAGGTATGCACGCATGCTCTGCTTGTGATTTGTAGTTTTTTCCTTCCTCTTCTAACTTATTCATGTTGGCAATTTTTTGTTGTTTTGTTCACCCAATACTGTGTTTTATTGGTAACGGAAAGTTCAGAATGTAATTCTTTTTATAAATTAGTGTGTGAGAAAATTTAACTGCGTCGAAATTGGAATCCGCAAAAAGCAATAATTGGTTTTTAGTTTGCATAATCAAGGTGAATTAAAATTTTGATTAAAAATCTTGCAAATTCGAAATAAACACCTATTAATTTAGTTTAAATGCTCAAAATACCGAAATTTTTGGCAAGAAGTTTTAAAATATTGGCAATTTTTATATTTATGTAAATTTGAGAGAGAGCATATGTTCGAATTTTTTCGAACTAAAAAAATATGTGTATCCGAACAAACTTATAATTTTGCTTACAAATTTCACAAATTCAAACATATAGGTATGTTCGAACAATTTCGAAGCTCAAAATATTTTACAAATTCTATATAATTGCATGTTATTTCGAAGCGCAAAACACACATACATATGTATGTATGTAATTTAAACGTGTTATTATTTAGCTTGTAGAATGTGATAGAAATATAGCACACAATTTTATTTTAATATTTCGAACTACATATTATCACAAATATTTTTAAATTATTTTACACTTCCAAATACTTTTAATGACTATATTTAAATAAAATATTACTACAATATTTTGTTGATATGGTAAAAAGTTTCTATTTGGAAAGCTTTATCTTAAATATATTTTCGAAGATTAAAAAAATTCAGAAATATTTTCAATTTCAGACTAGTTTTTTCTTCGACTATGAATATTTATCATGAATTTTGAAATCTTGGTCCTAAATAAAGGTCGAAGATTAAAAATATTTTTGTTTTCAGACAAATACTCTTTTCGAATGTTAATATTTGCCATAGTCTTTTCTATTAGACTATTAATATTTACCATGAATTCTGAAAACTTTACCTACATAAATTTCGCAGATTTAAAATATTTTAATTTTTAGACAAAATGTTCATTTCGAATATTAATATTTACTATAATCTTCATCATTAGAATTATATAAACCAATGTTTTAAACTCGCATGCAGTGAATATCGGGAGAATCTCAGCAATTGCTTTAAAGTTCAAATGGTGTGAAAGTTTGAAATTTTTCGAAGTTCATAAAAATTAAAATTTTTATGTTCTAGATTTATTAAAGAAATGTGAATTTACAATTGTTGTTAAGCAATGATTTAAACATTGAATAAGCTCTTTTAGGGCTTATCATAGCATTTAAAAATAAAAATACAAACGATTTTGAGGACTTATTATTTCCAAAAAAAAAACACATTCAAGTGCGAAATTTTTCGAAATTAAAAGAATTTAATGTTTACAATTTACTAGACTTATTTTATTTGCGATTATGAATATCTGCCCCATTAGCATGTTGTTGGCCAATGTTTTAAACCCTGAAAAAATGTTTGACCAATTAAAGTGCAACTTCAGTCGAGTTTTATAATTTATAATAAGTTGGAATATTTATGTCTGGACAAATCATTTTATCATCATTTATAAGAGAAAAACACTTTTAAATAAAAATATATATCAAACCAGACTACATTTTCAACACTCAAGCCCAAGCAGGCTTTAAAGTAATTTCGCATAAAATTTGCATAATTTCCTTTGCATTAAAATCTGATCAAAGTTGTGTCAAGAGACAGCGACGCGTTAATATGTTTACCTATGCAAATGTGCATATATTCTTTTTGATGAGATATACGACAAATAAATGCGTACACATGCACACACACAGAGGCAAATTGCAGAGACAACAACAAACATACAAAAGGATGCGGCGAACGGGCGACCGAAATTCAATATATGCACGTATGCATGTGTATGTGTAGCACACCAATAAAACTGTACCACCACCCAACCAGATTGGCAAGGAATATTACTATGAACAACAACAACAAATAAAACAGCAACGAAGAACAAGAATGAAAAACAGAGCGAAACCGAAAAGTATGCGCTTGCAAAGCAGCGTAAATGTCATATCATCATATCATATTCCTATTCGAATATACTTACATATATATGTACATATACATATACATGTTCGTATGTATCATGTAAAAAATATTACAACAAACACACACACACGAATTTGGTGTAGAACTACATAGAAAATGTTGTAGTAAGCAGCAGCGACGACTGACGATTATTTCGAAGCTGAACTGACAACGAAGGACATGTCAGAAGGATATGCGAAAGTACATAAATGAGAGAGTCATGGAAGAGCGAAATGCGAGTGATAGGGATAAATAAAAAGAGCGTAAATGACCGAAGCGGAGAGATTTTGAGATACATATAAGCGCAGTACTGAGTTCTAAAATATATTTGTGTACACACACATATGCATGTACATTTGTATAAGAATCCATACGTATCTACATGTGTATGAGAAATCGGTGAATCGGGCGCGTACACAAAAGAGGGGGGAGTGGGGCTTGCTGTGAGTTGAGGGTCATTTTTGATTAAATGCGAACTTTATTGCGCGTGTTTGTATTTTTCGTTACTATTTTTAACTATTTCGCATTTGTTGAGTTTTATATTGACGTTGTAAGGTTAAAGGGTAAAGTGAGGTTAAGTGTAAGCTGAGACTTTTATTAAAAATAAAATATTTCAGCAAACAACTTTTATATTTACATATATGTATATATTTAACGTTTGCAATATTTGCTGCACATTCATTGCATTTCACTTATTAAACGTTTGCTGAGCGTGTATCTAACTGGGCAACAATAATTTTTTTTTTTAATAATTCGTTTCACTAATAAACGTTTTACTTAAAAATATATATTGAAAATAAGCATTAAAAAATCAAGACAGTGCAACTCACTTTTATTTCATATTCAAAAATTTTGCTTTGCTCTTCAGAGGTGGCGCTAACGGCATTCCATGCAAAGTGCAGTTATGGTTTTACTCTTTGGATCCTTTTTACTGTTGTTGTACAACTAGATTCAAAAAACGGCGTTTTGTGCTTTTATATTGTTGGTTGTTGCTGTGTTTTTTGTTGTTTTTGGAATAAGTTTCTAGTTGGCTGCGTATAGCGACTAGTAGCGCTTTTCTTGCTGGTTATTGCACATTTTTTGCAGCGCAAATTATTTAAGCGTGATATGCGCCAGCGAATTATAGAGAATTCTGTACACTCTGATCACTGTAGTTTGAGCAGCGCAACAATAGAGCTAGCAGCTTGGCCAGTAAAATAATATATTTGCATGCAGTTTTCACTTTTCATTTATATTTTTCGATTGTTTTTTTTTGTGTATCGCACAAGCAGCACAATTTTTTTTTTTTCAAAAATTTTCAATTTCCAAACTTATTTTCAGATTTTGATAATATTTGCTGGCATTTTTTGTTTCTCATTTAGTTAAGTAACATAAAAGCTTTTTTCAATACGTAAAAAGTCGCTGAAACTCACAGATTGCTTGTGTCAAGTCAACGTGCACACACACACTTGGAAAACACATATATGTATATATACGTATGTATGTATATTTATGTATGCATATAAGTAAAAAATTTATGCGCACTTAAAACAACAAATCTTTGATTTGACTATAAACTTAATTCTCTTCTCACACAACGGTACTTCACTTATTATAAATTATTTTTCCGCTCAATTTTCTCCCATACACTTGGAAACTATTTTTCAATGGAAAATTTTTTTTCTATTTTTTATGCAGTTTAATTATTGAATTCTTATTATCTTTTGTTCCAAAACTCCCACAGCCTAAAAGCCCACTACGCGTATTAGCTTGTAAGGCTCTGGCGTGTCTGAGATCAGCGAGTAAACTAAAACGAACTGGGGTTGCTGAAGCAGCCGAAACCAACCGAGCGCGTGAACGGTACAAGAACGAAACACAGGATCAAAGCGTAGACGACACACAAAATGAGCAGACAGGAGGCGGCAGCGCAATGTGAACAACAACAAAACACTCTATATATTGACACATAGATACACGCATACAAGCGCAGTACGACTCACAGATACTTTGCGATTAGCGTACAAAGTGAGAACGAAACGAAACTGAGATGCGAGTGCGCTCGGCTGTGCACTCAAGGGAATTTGCGAAATTCGAAAACGAGTGAAATGAAAGTCTGCCAAGGCAAAGGAGCAAAGCGAGTGCGGAAGGATGCATTATCCTTATGGCGAAGAGTAGAATATATTTTGAGCGAACAAGCGCTGTATACAGCGCACAATAAATGCATATATATTCGTGGAAGTACATACAAGTATATGTATGCAAATATATACGAAATGGTGGCAAAAAGGACATGAAGAGAATGTACGCGCAAATTGTTTGTGTCAGCAATCAAATAGAAACGCCGACAAGCATAGGCTAAAGCAAAGTTGTTGAGAAAGTAGAAAATGCGTGATAAATAAGCAAGCAAAACGAAAAGCAAACAAATAGCGAGTCCCTCCGGCCAATGCGTCGCACTTGGCTGGTTTGAAGCGCAAACAAAATTAAATTAAAAGAAAGAATAAACTAAATGAATAGTAAATAGAGGAACTTAAAAGCAATGTAAATGGCGTACATGATTGTATTTTTTTTTTATTTAATGAAAAAGGATTTGACAAAAAAACGAGCGCTTAGAGTTGAAAAGCTAACAAAGTAAATGAATGAAACGAAAAAAAAAGCAAATATAAAAAAAATAAAAAATTAGTTGCCAATGACAAAGCAGCATCCGGCTGCAAATTTGATTTCAAACACCTAATCCAACTACAATGGTTGCGAAGTATAAACAAAAAGCAACAACACGTGAGACTGAAACGTGATAAATAAGTGCAAGTAAGTAAATACAGACAGCAATCAGCGCCGCAAGCGACTAATAAATGTCGGCACAGCTCTCCAATATAGAACGATTTAACGAACCAATAAATACGAGAATATATTAATATTAGTAGCAAAATTAAGTAATTAAAAAATGAACAAAAATTTTTAAATATTATAAAAAATTAGATATGCATTAAAAAATAAAACATCAGCATAATCAAAATTTAATATGAAACAAAAATAAAAATAAAAACGTTAACTTCGGCTATAATACCCCTCAAAAATAAAAAAGCTTTGCATACAAGCACTTTATTCTGATCGTTCAGTTTGTATGGCAGCTATATACTATAGTGATCCGATCTAAACAATTTCTTCGGAGATTACACCATTAGACCTTAGGCCAATAATCCATAAAAAATTTCTTGAAGATATCTCGTTAAATGAAAAAGCTTTCCATACAAACACTTTAGTCTCATCGTTCAGTTTGTATGGCAGCTATATGCTGTAGCGGTCCGATATTGCCCGTTCCGACAAATGAGCAGCTACTTTGTGACGAAAGCACGGGTGCAAAATTTCAGACTGATATCTGAAATACTGAAGGACTAGTATGCATATATACAGACGGATGGACAGACGGACATGGCTAAATCGACTCAGCTCGTCATGCTGATCAATTATATATGTATATACTTTGTAGAGTTTCCAACGTTTCCTTTTAGGTGTTACAAACTTCGTGGCAAACTTAATCAGAGTATAAAAATATAGAAAACATACAAAAAACAAAAAATATTTAGTGTAAGCTTTTTTTATTTTAATTTAATTAGCTTATTACTGTAATGAAATTTTTAAATATTAAATGCCATATAAAATATTCAAAAAATTTTCTGATATAAACATGATCATCATCCTAAGAAAACAAATTCCCCTTCGAAAAGTCGTAAGATCTCACGCTAATAAAACCTTTTTAGATTTACCAAATCTGAGAATCCAATATTGGAATCTATCTTACATTTTTCGTGGACGAGCTCTTTAGTATATCCAATACAACTTCAGTATTTGCACTTCTTTGCGACTTAAAAGTCAAACATGGATGCTTCTTCCACATTCTTCCACATTTCTTGTCATTTATTTTATATTTCGACTCGGAAGTCAAACATCGACATTTTTTCCCTATTCTGTGCCATTTATGCTCTATTAAAGTTGTGACACAAACTCGTATTACTTGATAATTACTTACTTTACCATGCACATATACCTTTAACTCCTCTTAAACATCAGTATTTTGGTGTTTTAAGATGTGGTACCCTGTTTTATAATGATGATGTTTAAAAAAAAAATGTCAAATTTAGCCCCGAGTTTATCGACCCACTAGGTCCAGAGGACACAGTTGTCATTTGATTATAAACCTAAAAAGCTAAACTCGTTTATAGCTCAACTACACCGAGTTATTCAGCAAAAACATCAAAATTAATGAAGAATCTATATTTAAGCGGTGAAATTCGGCTGAGGAACACATACATCAACACAGTTAGATGAATTCAAGGATTGCGAATAAATATGCACATAGGATACATATAGATACAATATATATAGACTACTTAAGACTAAAGTCCAACTGGACACTCATCGAACAGTATGTATGTATGTATGTTATATCTGTATGCCTGTGTGTATGTATTTTATTCGATTTTCATAGACACACATTTACCTGATTTAATTTGATTTCTGCATTAGCAGCTGAAATGTAGTGACCGAAACTGTCTCAGCATCAACAAAGAGCGTCACAGCGTGTTCATATGTATGGAGAAATATACATATAGTATGTATTCAAATATGTACATATGTATATCTGTATTTTTGTGTGAGTTTCATTACATGCACTATTTATTCTGCCAGACATTAGTTCGGCTCGTGACGCGTGCAGAGACTAAGCGCAAAGGATATACGGGCACAAATATAATAATAAACGTATATGTATGCGTGTAGGAGGACTTTTTTTTATTAATGGTAAAAAATTATGCACACACTACAACGAATGCTGCGAATTATGGTAATACAACAAAGATTTATGTGCCTGATATAGTGGCGATAGCACTAGCGAAATAGATCGAATTAGGATAGTAAAAAATTAATTGTTTTATAAAAAAAAATGAGTTTTTGCAGAAGGCGCATGCAGGATAAGCACTGCAGTGACGCAGAAATACAAAAAAAAAAAAAAATAAACAAACTTTTACACATACATCCATCAATTATACTTGTATATGTGCATTAGAGTACTCGTATTTACAAAACGAATCGCCGCCACTGCTGATGACTTAGCGAAATTATGTGATTTCATTTTACTTAACGATTGGCAAAATACAGAACGAAATATTACATTAACTACTCATATTAAACGTCTGAGTGCGTGGCTTGATAAATATGGCTGGATGGCAGGCGCTGGGGAATTGGATTAGTTGCGGTCGGAAGATTAATGAAATATTGCGCAAATAATTTCATTGAAGTCAAAAGAAAATGGTGAAATTTTGACACACACACATATACACATATACACATATAATGCGATGTATAGATACAAAAATTTAAGCCAATTTTTTATTTTTGTTTAGCCATGGCGAAACCACGGAGGCATAATAACATGAAAAATAATGACAAAAAATCTAAAAGTAACATAAAAGTAATTTAGGAACAAAAAACCGAAGCAAATGTAATGCAGCAATACATGTATATAACACGAGAAAATTTCAAAAGTATTAATTATTAAGAACATAAATAATAACAAGAACAAGAAATGTAGTAATGTCTAGTAAAAATAAATCCATTATTTTTGCACTAATTTGAAGGTTTTATTTAGCATAGTTATAATGAATCGGCTTAGGTCAAATATGAACCGTTTTGTTAGATAACTTGTTGCCATTTTGAAGGTAATTTCATATTGCCACTCTCATGGGAATCATCATCCTGTTAACAAATAATTGGGGCAACGAATTTTCACGAGCTTCTCTTTAGACGAATTTTTCACCTATAAAATCATTCACCACAAAACAGGTAACTTAGGGCCAGGTCCGGACTCTCCTATTGGCCACTTCTGGGCGATTGCTTCGTTCAAACGTTCCATTCTTGAGAATACAAGTCCGAATTCGGAGTTTGGCCGTTGGGAAGGAGCTCATAATACTAGGTGATTCGCTGCCAACACCATCAAAAATATTGTAAAACCTCTCCGACGGTAAAAATCCGATTTAGAAATGGGTAGATTTTGTTACGATTCTTCTACGACTCGTCGATGCAAATTCGGTGTCGCTTATTTTTGTATCCAACCTTATTTAAATGGCACCAAACGGTTTTTCGTACAATAAAATTAAATCCTGCGTAATCGAGTGCTTATATTTCGATTTCCATTATTTTATCGATATTTTCGACCACTGGCCTGCTATTCTACGAATAAAAAGTTGCGGGTGCTTGGCTGTTACAGTATTAAGACCATTAACACATTTTATCGAAGAAAAACTATAAAATATGTTCATCTCTGGCGGGTAATAATACTGAATCAAGCAATCACAAAAATGTCGAAGAAGTTTTTTAATACGAAATTTTATCTAACGCCATATAACGTAATCCGATCGCACGAGATACAGATCACTAAAGTCATTTACTGGATAAATAATGGATTTCATGGTTCTAGACCGTTTAATATTATAAATTAAAATATCAAAAGAAAAAAACAAACTTAAAATAAAACAGGTTATAAAATAACTAAAAATAACAATAAGCTATCATAGAGGTATTTGAAATTTCTAAACCGTAATAAATACCACCACAAATAGTTATTTTAATTATTCGAAAATATTTAAGAGTATTTAATGTCGTGTCAACTAGACAACTAAAATATTGCCTACATTTCAGCAAGATGGTAAAAATAAATTGTTGTTTAGAGTTACAAGCGTTACTTTCTCTTGGTGGAGTTTAACTTTAAATAACATTATTGTTTTCTGCTCTAGAAATTTGAAAAAAAAAATAGTTTTCGGCATATTATCAAAGTTTAGACCGTTTATGCCCATAAACGGATTTTAAAAAATTCGAATTATTT